TGTACAGATTATGCAATAAATGAAATGCTGGTTTGTTGAAAATAATACTCGATTGCTTGACAACTGCCATTTCTGTGATGTTTGCTTTAATACTGCCATAAAAAACTTTCCATGTCCCGAATTGTATTAGAATAATGTTATTTCTTTGCTTCAGGGCTTACCAGTTTGCTTACAGGTGTTCATTCACATTTAATTTTTTTCTACTAGTTAGCTTAATCCAAATAAATCTTTTCTCTAAATACTTTCATTGACTACTTGACTACAAACTATAAACAAATGCATTTGATTAGGTATTAGTTCTCTTGAATGAAATTGGGCTAAGTGCTTGTTGCCGAATATTATTGAGGAAGTTTTTTTTTGAATTAAAAGTTACTTGAAATTGTTTTGGATGATACCTAACAATAATTTAATTACTGGGCCACCGGGTCAAGACGGGTCACTGAGAAAGCTGGGTCAAGATGGGTCACTGGGCCAAGCTGGGTCACCGGGTCAAACTGGGTCACCGGATCAAGCTGGGTCACCGGGTCAAGCTGGGTCACCGGGTCAAACTGGGTCACTGGGTCACCGGGTCAAGCTGGGTCACCGGGTCACTGGGTCAGTAAACTAACTGGGTCACCGGGTCACTCTATGCTTGACCCAGTCCAACTCTGCTGCGAACTACATGTAAGCTCTACACAGCCAGCTTCTGTTTAGCTTACATACCAAGAACGTGGCAGGACTTCATACCAAAAAGGCCTGGACGCTCAATCGACCTGCCCAAGGTATATAGACCCATCAGCCTCAGCTCGTTCCTGTTGAAGGGGATGGAAAAAGTCTTGGACCAATTCCTGAGAAGCGAGGTTCTAACAAAACATCAGTTTCACTCCCTATCGAAAAGGAACATCGATAATCACGACCCTACGTAGGCTGGAGAAAGGCCATATAATTCATGTAAATTCTAATTAATTCACATTAGTTCAAATTAGCACAGAGGGGTGTAGGTACACCAAACATTCAAAGTTGTTTCCATCTAGAATTTTTCCAAGGCAAATTTTTACCAGGACTAGAGTTCGCGAGTAAAATATTTGAACGGCGGATTTTTTCTGGGGACAAATTTTCTACACAAGTATACCAGAGAAACATTTTCCAAGAGCAATTTTATCAATCTTAAATTTTCAAGGCGAGAATTTTTCCAGAGAGAATTTCCCCAGGGCGAATTTTTCTGAGACGAGATTTTAAGTGCCAAATATTCCAAGGCCTATTTTGTTGGAAGCTAAATTTTCCGTATGCGAATTTTCTGGAAATGAATTTTTCCACGACAAATATTCCCAAGACGAATTTTGAGGGGACAAGTTTTGTGGGTCAAATATTTCAAGGGCGATTTTTTTACGTTTCTGGAGATAAGTTTCCGGGGCGAGTTTTTTAAGCGAGTATTCCAGGGCATAAACATCCAACGCAAATTTTTCTTTGACGATTTTTTGGAGACCAAATATTCCAAAGAGATTTTTTCAACATTTTCTGTAAACGAATTTCCTTTTCTGGACGAATGTTTCAAGGGCAATTTTGGGAGCCTACATTTTCCGTAGGCAAATTTTTCGGAAGAGAATTTTTCCATAGCGAATTTTCCCTGAACAATTTTCCTTGTAGTTTATGAGAGTCAAATATTCCAAGGACGACTTTATTCGGTACGCGAATTTTTTAGGAAAGAAGATTTCCAGGAAGAACCCCCCCCGAAAATTGTTGGGGGTGAAATATTACGAGAGGAAAATTCGTAGAGGCGAATATTCCCTGTACTGTATTACGGGTTGAATCTTGAATGGAAGCATTTTAAAAAGGCGATTTTTTCATAGCGAATTTGTATATTTTTTTCCGGAGGACAAGTCTTTGGGGGTCAAATATTCCAGGGGCGATTTTTAGAGCGCATCAAATTTTCTGGAATTATTCACGCAAGTATTCTAGCGAAGGTAGATTTTTACGAGCCTTTTTTATGAGAGTGATTTTTCCTCGTGAATTTTCAGGAGATTTCTAAGGGCGATTTTTTACAGAAATCGGCGATTTTCGAGAAACGAATTTTCCAGGGCAAATTTTGTCAGGACGAGTGTTTGTGGGTGAAATATTCCAACGGAGTTTTTTCGAGACTAAATTTTCTGGGGGCAAATTTTTCACGCAAGTAATCCAGGGAAAAGTTTTGCAAGAACGATTTTTTCGGTGTTTAAATTTTCAGGACAAGAATTTTTTCAGGGCGAGCCGTGTTTTTAATGTCACATATTCCAAGGGAGATTTTTTCGAGGCTAAATTTCCAGAACAAAAATTTGTTATACAATTAATCCAGGAAAGAATTTTCCGGTGCGCATATCCCCAAGGCGACTTTTTCAAGCCTACATTTTCCGGAAGCGAATTTTTCCATAGGGAATTTTCCCAGAAGAAATTTTCCGGAAACAAGTCTTTGAAGATCAAACACAATAGTGATTTTTTCGAGGCTACACTTTCAGGATGAGAATTTTTCTACAGCGAACATCTCCAATGAGAAACTTTTCCGAGAACAAGCCTTTAGGGATGAAACATTCCAAGGGTGGTTTTTTAAGCGCAACCAAATTTTCTGAAGCGAATTTTCTGGGGATTTATATGGGCAATTTTTTCAGGAATCGATAATTTTTTACAAACGAATTTGGCTTAGGGGGAACAAGTACCATTTTTGGTGTACACCAAACATTCAAATTCAAGTTAATGTACGTTAATTCATGTTAATTTACGCTAATTTAAATCAATTCACATTAATTCAAATTAATTAACGTTAATTCAAATTAATTCACGATAATTCAAATTAATTCACGTTAATTCAAATTAATTCACGTTAATTCAAATTAATTCTAATTAATTCAGGCTAATTCAAATTAATTCAGAGGGGTGTACCCTAGAGCTAGCCCATGTCACGTGTGCAGTTGTACGTTCCCTAAGTTTCATTGTGGAGATTTAAGTATCTATGGGAGTATTAAAAAAATTTGGTCACATAGTCTAAATCATGGGTCGTTTGGTTGCAATATTTAAAAATAGCTCCGACGTGGCTAGATTTTTTGTATTAAGTATATATCCTCACGCAATGGTTCAATTTTACTGTTTTAAAAAAGTTTTAATGATTTTTTGAAGGTGAGCAAGTATTGTAATTAGAAATTATTTGGTAAATCCAATTTTTTAAGATACATTAAGTGTTTTAATAAATCCACTTGGCGAAAGCTTGTTGATTTTGTTGTAATTACAATATTGTTACGATTAATTTAATTAAATTACTCGTAATCTAATTTGTGTCAGTAAGGTACTCATCTATGGCGTTTTTCAATTGATAAGATGGCCGGTGGACCTCCGAAAATGAATCTTCCTTGCGCATATATTGAGAAAATACTACTGGTTTCTACTCAGGAATATCGATGTAGAAAGCACAATCCGGTTGGTAATAATAAAGATAAATGTAAGGCCTTATTCAAAGTGAAAAGGTAAATGCGTAATTGCTAACATAACGAAAAACGGCTTTAGAACTTGTACAATACATGTGCAAATGCGTAATCGAAGTGTCGAAAGTCAAATAACAAGAGAAAACTTCACTAAACTTATACAGCATCAACACAAATCCCAAAAAAACTGACAAAAATTGTAGAGTAATTGTAATGGCGTGTATTCTTCTGCAAGTAATGACCGAATCTGGTCTTTGTAAAAAGAAGTGCGTGCGCCGAAAGAAATTAAAGGAAACTCTACACGACCTCCGTCGGCAAAACCAAGAACTATGTGAAAGAAGCATATACTCAGATAATACCAAATTTACTACAAGAACAATTTACATCTAAACTAGACCAATGCAAGAACTTTTATACATAAGTAATTTAAAGAGTATTAATACATTTCAAGCCAAAATAATGTGTCGACATATTTTTCCTAGAAAAAGAGCTTCTCGTCCAGCATGCGCTCCTGGTAATCTGACAAATTTTGAATCTTTTCTAACTGAACATCTTACATATTATATTTTCCTTATACCTACAAAGTTTAATCATGATCTCCTAATAGATAGAGCAGGAGTTTCCTAACTGAGCCTTCGAGAATTAGAAACAGAAACACATCCAACACTTCAAGAGCCTTCGTGGTTTTTCAATACCTACTCCCAAACCTACAAGGCCGATCAGGACACCCCGAAACCTTCCAAGACTGTTCACGAATGTTCAATGCCCTTTTTTGGGCTATGTCAACCTTTTTAAAACATTTTGGGTCCAATACAAATATTTTATTCTTCGAATTCCGTTTCATGACCTTTCAAGCCTTGAAAAACCATTCAAGATCCTTCAAGACTCTTTAAAAGCGTTAAAATTCTTCAAAAAAAAACCTACATACAGGTACCGCTTCATAGCGGTCAAGACTGAAAGTATGTCTGACGATAACAAAAAAAACCTAAGTATTGCAGAAAGAGAGCGCTGTTGCCACGATCTCTTGGAACCTAAAAGTTTCGTTCTACTCTGTTAGAGCAGGCGCGTGCTATTTTGTGTACTTGCGATAAAAGATTCAAGAGCCATCACGCACAATTCTTTCGTGCTAAGATAAAACCTTGTAAGTTTTCATTCGTTCGTTTCATAGTATTCAAAGAATCTCCCTTTCGTACAAGAACGTGGGAAAAATGTCATCCAAATTTGAACAAGCGAAAAAATGATATCTTAATATTCCCTATCGAAAATGATTCCCAGTAGACAGCGAAAGTGGCATATAACTAAAGCAAGGAGAGGGCGTAATTGTCTATTGTTCTAGCAGCCCTAAAATATGGCGAACGCCTACCAAGTTTACAAACTTCGCAGATTAATAGTTGTAAATTCTAAATGTTCTGGCCTGGAGGGTTTTCCGTTAACTTCTCGACATATTAGCGAGCATTTTATATTCACGTGCTGATTGCCTCTTACGATCCCTCGCGCCTGAACTGCTCGCGGCACTTTCAAATCAAATTTGTGTCGCACGCCCGCCCGCGAAAAGAAAAACAATTTACTTACATTCTTGTTTAAAGGTGAAATATTCTGTAAGATGGCGACACTCGTGGTTACCACGTAGGAGGAAAAGTGTCGTCGGGAAACACAATTTAAGGGCCCACAGGTACAAAACGCACTAAAAGAGATGGAACGAATGAGCGAAACCGCGGCCGCCGCCCGTAAACTTACCTCTATACTAAAATATCCTCTATCGACGTAGTCGCCCAGAAAAAGGTACTTTGTGCTGGCGGGTGGTCCCCCTACTTCAAAAAGTTTCATAAGATCATAGAACTGGCCGTGTATATCTCCACATACTGAAACAAAAGATAAATAGGTTAGAATTGGTGTCACGAAAGAGGCGAGTTCGACGTAAACTCAATTGGGGAAATGAGTTCGAGTTCATGTTCATTTTTAATAATACTAAAATGACCCCCTCGATTTCCCGCGCCCTGTATGCTGGGTTTAAATATTTCCTAAATTAGGATTTCCCGAAAACCTTCCAGGTTCATTTCAGTTTCATAAAAAAGTTGGAAACTGTGAGTTTCAACAGGATGGTGCAACAGCCCTAATCGTGCGAGAATACCTAGCGGACAAATTTCCTAGAAAATGGAAAATATGTCCGATGGGTATTCTGGCACGATTAGGACGTGGGACACCAAATGTTGATCAATATTTATTGCGCATCGACACGAAGCGTCCGTCGGTAACCGCGCCGCACCAGTATGAACGGCGCAACGAACTCCGTCGCACACCCGATAAGGGGTAGGTATTCAATACTCTTACGCCATCTAGGTATCTCCTTTGTAATCAATTAGTTAATTGTTATAGTAAATGTATTATTATTTCAGTATAGATTTCTTGTTACTTTAGTTCTTTGTGTTGCCGTCCGAGGTCGTGCAGTGGTTCCCATGATATTTTGGGTCATCCTCTCTTTAAGTTTATCTTACCAACAAGTTGTATTCGTTCGCTTCAGTAAAGTTTCCGCCGTCTAATTGATTGGTTGGTTCGTGTCTTACCTGAACAAGGGCTTTTGTTTTGACTTTACCATATTTATCTTTGGAGTGGCCTCTGTTTCTCTTTGATGACTGTGGTGGTTCCATTGAAACTTTTTACGGATTTGTATTTGTACATGAACAATACGAGGTATGTTACATTATTATGCAGCATTTTTCTCATTACGTATTACCGACCTTTTGTCCAAACTGATTATAAATCTGGCATCCCGTAGATGATCTAGAATGTTCGAAACAAACGGCAAAGGATAGGCGTCGCGTCTAGTAGCTTTAATGAGCTAACGAAAGTCCACACAGAATCTCAAAGATCCATCCATCGAGTAACGATTATTATATCGTCAAGATCTTTAAAACAGAAAGACTCCAAATCTACCAGACACCACTCCTTGCCAAGAGCTGTGTGTTATCCAAAGGAAGTCGTTTAAATTGGTACAGACCCCGGGACGGTAGCGTAAAAGCTGTCAATGGTCGAAAATCCTCGGTAAGAGGGATTTGCCAATACACCGACCTTATGTCCAAATTGATTAGAAATCAGGCATCCCGAAGATGATCTCGAATGTTCGAAACAAACGGCAAAGGATAGGCGTCGCCTCTAGTAACTTTAATGAGCTAACGAAAGTAGCAAAATTTCTATGACCCTTTTTTTACATCGCAATCGGTCTACTCCAAGGACTCGATGACACCCTTATCCAACATTTCCAAGGGCATCGCGTGAATACGAAAATCAGCAGTAGAAATTTCGAAGTAAAATTATACCTATTGATTTTATTTCACGTTCGTTTATTAGCCTTTAGGAGTGCTAAAGTTCTTCTGCGGCCTTCAATAGCATTTAAAAAGCTTTAAAGATCTTCAAGAGCCTTTAACGGTTCTCAAGAATCATCGAGGCCTCTAAAAAATTTCTGCAGATCTTAGTAGGTATTTAAAAACCTGCAAACCTCCCGGGTTCTTCTTTCACCTTTAAAGCCTCTAAGAGGAAAGAAAAGCCTTCATTGGTAAGTACTTCAAAGCAATTATTTTGGTCTTAAAAATCGCCACGTCACGCACTTTAGACATTTCATCCGGTCTTTAAGGGATAAAATAGCACTTATCCGGGCTAAAGCTGAAAGAAAGACTATCAGAGCCTGTTTACAGATACCACGCATGCAAGCGATTGATAGAAAATTAATTAATTAGATTATTTTTAATATATCCTATAATCTGGTCATAACTGCGAGTTTCTGGTTCACAAAGAACCAAACAGACACTCGATGACAGCTTAACAAAAAATTCACTTCTTTTACACTTAATCTTGATAACACAAACTGACTGTTGAATTTGATGATTAAATTTGTGACCTCTCGAATGGTCGAAAGAAAAATTTTACTATAGCGAATAGTGATGGTAAAACTATAAAAAAAATCAAGAAAATCGGTCGAAACGTTTCGGAGGAGAATTTGACGCAAGTTTTGAATGCCGTCGAGGTAAGTACAGGCTTCATTCTCCTGCAAATTTTCATACTACGAGAAACAATTGTACGAGAACAGCTCACAACAGGGCTCAGCTGTATCATACCAGAAGCGATCCAGTTTACCATTTTTCATAGAAGAAGCCTTTTTCAAGGGAGGGCCGTACAATTTGTTATCTAAAGAAAAACACCGATTCCGGCGATAAAATTGTATACAATATTGGTCGGTTCTTTAAGAATTTGCAGCGGATGTTCAATGGATTCAAATGTTGTTTACCTGTAAATGTTGTAGACAAGGGAAATTAGAAACTGGTACGTGGCCACGAGATACAAATGTAATGAGACCGCATAGCCACAATGGAAGATGGATCAAAACAACAAGTAGAGGCGTCAGAATTACAGTGAACAAAATAAGAATTTATATGTATTTGATTATTGTAAAAATCATAGGAACTGAGAGTTAAGTCTCAATGGTTGTTTGCACCGACAAATTTAAGCGGAGCTTAGTTTAAGCGAAACTTAAAATCCATGACAACGATTACTGGGCAATGGCTGTCATGGTTTTAAGTCTTTATTTAACAATATTTAAGACACCTTGTGTTTTATCGCCTCGTCCCGCACTTTAGACCTTTCATCTGACCTTTAAAGGATTTTGATTGCCCTTAAGTCTTGAAGATTCTTCGCGACAACGATTGGCGCAAAATTTGTTGGAGAAAACATTTTCATTTTGTGGACCAAACTTTTATTATATGACTATGTTTGAGAGGTTCCACCCTGTATATACAACTTACGAGGATACATAATTTTTTGAGAGTTGGCAACCATGCAATTTCTAGGTGGGAAAAAGCTGCCTGCGCCATTTAGAAATCACGGACGGGGGTTACATTTGGCCTCTTGTTTTGAATGGCGGTCGTGTACGCGTCGCTCCAATAAATGTTTGTTGATATTTTGTATTATTTAATGCAGGTAGTAACTTTTGCATTCCTTTATATCGCATTTCTGTTTTGTATGCCACATTGGAGAGTTTTTTTGTGTGTTTGAATCTTTGTTTTTGAAATTTACTTGGTTTAACCGTAATGTCGAATGACATGTTTAATACCGTTATCCCTTTGTTTGTAATCGTTTACGTTTTTGGTGTAATCTTTGCTTAATTTATGATTATTGATGTTGATTACTTGGTCTTGTCCCTGAAGTAACATTCAAATAAGTTGTGATCATTTTATTTTAATATGTTGAAATTTCCGATTCGTTTGATTTATGTACTGACTTGTTTGTAACTAACATTTTCTCCGTGAATGAAGCAGTCACGGGGGTGGTAAAAACTGTAGTCAAAATTGAGCTACGACACCTAATTCCGTGATTGTCTTCGACATTCAACTGTAGGCTCGAAACCCCGAACGAGGGGCGACGCTACCTATCTTGCGGGGGCGAGATTATGCTAATCAAAACTCTTCAGTTTAGAATCTATGTGCGATAAATGAGTTGACGATTCAATAATTTCCACATATTTTGTTTTTAGTTAAATTTGCCTGCAAGGCCATGTAATTTTCCATCTTGCTTTTAACAAAAGGACTTTATTGCACCAAAGATGAGTCACATCCTGTGTATTTCACCCTTTCTTAGAATTTTGGTACCTGCTTACCTGACCCATAATTCCCAAAACTTGTTTTTAACCTATATGTTACCTCTTAAAGTTTACCTGCTACTTTTTGTGATGTTATAATTTTATGTTAGGCATTAACATCATTACAAACAATTAATTTTACAACACAATTTGATATTAATTTGACGGCTGGTTTTTTTTATTGGTAAGCTCTTTTTTTCCCAGCCTATTTCTATTTTTATTCGGCGAACTACCATTTTCAAAGTTTATTTTTGCAATGTAATTAATTTCGACTTAAATTTCCGAGCTTTTACAATCATAATAATTACGATCATTATTAAACCAACTTTTCACAATTTCAGTGTTTTATTTTACGTTCCTTCTCTACTGTGCTTCAGATCAAAGCGTTGTCTACAACTAACGTAAGGGAGCCCTGCCTTAGATGTTTGATCACGTGCCACTTTTCAAATATAAGCGGGATCTTGTTTAGTTTTGGAGGGAATAGTCATTCGGGTGGCCATTTTTAAACGTTGCCAGGTTGACTTTATTTCCATATTCTTGTAGTGTGAAGTTAGCGTAGAACCTGAGGGGTAAGTACACTACAAGTTCAACAACGTGTTTTTTTTCGAAAACTAAGGTTTTGGTTAGAAAAGATTACAATCACTTACCTAAATGAAAAGCAACAGCAAGAGCAATAGAACAGTTTTTTTTTCTTGTAAAGTCACTAAGTGAGATAAAACACACGTTGTGCAGAAGCAAAATTTTGGGCACAAAAACTAGTTCTGCCTTTGAACTTTGTGCACAAGAAGTTCTAATACAAAAACCAAAACGGAGAGTAAATTTCCGGCAACAAAAATTATAAACACAGGAAACAGCTCTTTTAAACCTAGTGCATACACAGCACGAATCGTAACCTCTTCATCCATAAATCACCTTTCCATGTATTTCCAAGTGTTCTCTTCATTGATTTGGTATACAGGGTGGTGACTTGCGTAACGCATCATAGGGATTTCAATGTAAAATTCATAACATGCGATTATTGGCTCCCCAAATTATTTTAGAGCAAAAATGTATTAAGGTTTTTTGTAGAAAAAAAATTTTTACGTCAATCAACCGCATTACTTTTCAATTTTTTGCATAATAAAGACGGAAAATTGGGAAAATAAAACCCGCATCTTTTTCAATAATCTGTGATGCCATGGAATTCTCTAAAACAAAAAGATGTCCAGTTATCAATTAGCAGCAGTTCGAAAT